CCGGCCGCGGCGGCCATTGGAGGGTGAACCAACGGCAAAGGAAGATGTTTCTCTCTGTCTCTCTCTGTCACTGTCCACTCTGCCTGTCAAAAAAAAAAAAAAAAAAGTAGCTATTCAGTGGTTACAGAACCGTTTGTTGCAAAGACTATCCATACTTTAGTGAATATCTTTGCACCTTTGTCAAAAATCAATTGATCATAAATGTATCCTTTCACTAACACTGTACCATCTCAACTGCTGCAGCATTGTAGCAACTTTTGAAATCTGTAGCATGAATACTCCTACCTTACCATCTTATCTTTTTTTTTTTTTTTTTTTTTTTTTTTTTTTTTTTTTTGACAGGCAGAGTGGACAGTGAGAGAGAGAGACAGAGAGAGAAAGGTCTTCCTTTGCCGTTCGTTCACCCTCCAATGGCCGCCGCTGCAGCCGGCGCACCGCGCTGATCCGATGGCAGGAGCCAGGATCCAGGTGCTTTTCCTGGTCTCCCATGGGGTGCAGGGCCCAAGCACCTGGGCCATCCTCCACTGCACTCCCTGGCCATAGCAGAGAGCTGGCCTGGAAGAGGGGCAACCGGGACAGAATCCGGCGCCCCGACCGGGACTAGAACCCGGTGTGCCGGCGCCGCAAGGTGGAGGATTAGCCTATTGAGCCACGGCGCCGGCCTACCTTACCATCTTTTTTACAGAGTTGTTTGGATATTTGCATTTCCACATGAATACTAGAATCAGCTTGTCAATTTTATGCTTCTTTAAAAGCCTTCTAGAATTTTGATTAGGATTGCATTGAATCTACAATTATAAGAATTGACATCTAAAGATTATTATTGAGTCTTGCAACACATGAACACAATCTACCTCTCCATTTATTTATTTATTTAGTTGAAAGGCATTGTGACAGAGAAAGAGAGCGAGAGAGAGATCTTCCATCCACAGATTCAGTCCCCAGCCAGAGCTGGTCCAGACTGGAGCCAGGAGCCAGGAACTCCACATGGGTGGCAGGGATCTCAGCACGTGGGCCATCTTCTGCTTTCCCCGGCACATGAACAGGGAGCTGGATCAGAAACAGAGCAGCCAGGACTTGAATAAGTGCTCTGACATGGGATGCAAGCATCTCATGTGGTGGCTTAACCCACTGCGCCACAAGACTGCGCCACCTCTCCATTTATTTAGACTTTTTTTTCTCAGCAATACTTGTTTGAAGCATATTGGGGTTGCAGATCCTCTCTCAGATTTATCCTTAAGCCTTTTATTTTTTAATGTTCTGTCAGTTTTAAGATGGAAAATAAAAGACATGTCATTCTTACTGCCTTTACAATTTTTCTGTAAATCGAAAACGATCCCCAAATATACAGTTAATTGAGAGAGAGAGGTTGAGAGGCAGAACTTGCTTGAGCATTGGAACTGCCCACACCCCTTCCAGCACCCGAAAATTCTCTCCAGGAAATCTCAGCAGACGTGCAGAGGAGCAGAGATGGTGGCTGACGGCGTCGCTGCAGGGTGACGGGCTTGGACCTCCTGCCGCTGTGGTCCACTCTGCCACGGAAGCAGCTCCCTTCTCCTCCCGCTCCGCGGAGTGACAGTGCAGCCCCTCCTGCTCCTCCACCGGTTGCTGTCTGCAGACACAGCCTAGGTTTTGGCAAGCAGGGCAGGCTTGTGGGTCTGGAGAGCTGTTCAGGTGACTGAGGGGAAGGTGTGACCCCTACAAGTCCTTTGAATGTTGGGGGGGGGGCACCATAAGCTACCAGGCAGGCCTTGGGCTCGGAGATGGAAGAAGGGGCAGTGAAGTGTGGCCCTGGGGGGTGACATGGCCGTCAGGAATGGCAAAGGCGTCTCGGGTGCGCCTGCTTCCTCTCTGTCTCTCAGCAGCTGTGCGAGAAGAGCTGTCTTGGGGGCATTTTGCTGTCCTGCTGTCCACTGCCTGCTGTCTTCCTGGGCGCTTTTGGAGCTTCCTAAGGCCAAGGACCAGCCCTTCTGGCACTCAGAGGACAGGAAGGGAAAAAACTGGAAACAGGCACATTCTAGGAGTTAGGAGACTTTTTTTTCTCTCTCTCTCTTTAAATTAATTTATTTGAAAGAGTTATAGAGACTCTCCTCTCTCTGTGTAACTCTTTCAAATACATACATACATACATAAATCTTAAAAAAAAAAAAAAAAAAAGAAAGAGTTACAGAGAGAGACCGACAGAGAGAGAGAGAAAAAGAGTTTCCACCCACTGATTCACTTCCCAGATGGCAGCAAAGGCCAGAGCTGGGCCAGGCCAAAGCCAGGAACCAGGAGTTTCTTCCAAGTCTCCCATGTGGGTGGCAGGGGCTCAAACACTTGGCCCATCCTTTGCTGCTTTTGCAGGCCATTAGCAGAGAGCTGGAGTAGAAAGTGGAGCAACTGGTACATGAACCAGTGCCCATATAGGATGTTGGCGTCACAGGCAGTAGCTTTTCCCGCTATGCCACAGTGCTGGCTTCAAGACAGACTTTTATCTTTTTTTTTTTTTTTTTTTTTGAAAGGCAGAGTTACAGAGAGGGAGAAGCAGAGACAGAGAGACAAGTCTCCCATCCACTGGTTCACTCTCCAGATGGCTGTAACAGTGCCAGCACTGGGCCAGGCTGGAGTCAGGCGCCAGGAGCCAGGAGCCCACATGGGTGCAGGGGCCCAAGTGCATGGGCCATCTGCTGCTGCTTTCCCAGGGAAATTAGCAGGGAGCTGGATTGGAAGTGGAGCAGATGGGACTTGAACTGGCGCCCACGTGGGATGCTGGTGCTGCAGGCAGCAGTTTAACCTGCTATGCCACAGCACCGGTCCCTTTTTATTTGTTTATTTGTCTATTTATTTGTAAGACTTTATCTTAAATCTTGACTCTTGGGCAAGTCAGTTTCACTATAAGATGACAAACTGAGATTTAACATGATCTTAAGAACCTGGCGCTGTGGTGTATGTAGTAGGCTAAGTGTCGTCCTGCAGGCTACTCCTCTTCCAATCCAGCTCTCTGCTATGGCCTGGGAAGCAGTAGAGGATGGCCCAAGTCCTTGGGCTCCTGCACCCACATGGGAGACCCAGAAGAAGCTCCTGACTCCTGGCTCCTGGCTTTGGATCAGCCCAGCTCTGGCCATTGCAGCCATCTGGGGAGTGAACCAGCAGATGGAAGACCTTTCTGTCTCTCCCTCTAACTGTAACTTTGCCTTTAAATAAATTAAATAAATCTTAAAATCTTAAATATTTCTTTTATCTCAAAAGAATGAGTATTTTCTATAAGAGCAGCCGTCTTTTATTTGATTTTATCTACTGTGTGCAGAGTAGCTGGCACACAGTAAAGGCTTGCAAAATGCGGAGATCGGCGAATGAACCGGAGAGGGAGTGAACAAAATAGATGAGGTTCCCAAACACGGCCAGCTGGTGGCGTCACTTCTCTACATAACCACAGGGAGGTGGTGGCGGTGGCAGCCAAGGGAAAAGCTCCAGACTAGGAGTGAATAAAGGTTAAAAAAGAGAAATGACTGAAGGCCAGCTATTCTACACGGTCAGCCCAGTGTCTTTTCTCTAAGCCAAGAGAAAAATAAGTCAAACGATTCTCCTAACAGCCAGGCTGTGAAGGTGAGTCTGACTGCAAAAGAGTTGGCACAGCCCCAAGAGATGGTGTGGCTGGCGGAGTCATGCAGAGCCGGTACGGCTGGGAGGCAGCCCATGGGGCTCACCTACCCTCAGGTGTCCCTCGGACTGCCCTTCTACCCCTGCCTCTGCACCTGCCCCAGCTCTAATCCATGACCTCCTGGGCCCCAGCATGGCTCTCTCCATCCTGTTTCTCCTGATTGGTAGGTTGTGTGTTTTTGTTGTTGTTGTTTAAGATTTATTTATTTATTTGAAATTCAGAGTTACACAGAGAGAAAGAGAGGCAGAGAGAGAGAGAGGTCTGCCATCCGCTAGTTCACTCCCCAATTGGCCACAATGGCTGGAGCTGTGCTGATCCGAAGCCAGGAGCCAGAAGCTTCTTCCAGGTCTCCCACGTGGGTGCAGGGGCCCAAGGACTTGGGTTATCTTCTACTGCTTTCCCAGGCCATAGCAGAGAGCTGGATCGGAAGTGGAGCAGCCGGGACTCGAACCGGCACCCATATGGTGCTGGCATATGGGATGCCAGCACTGCAGGCGGCAGCTTTACCTGCTGCGCCACAGCGCCGGCCCCAGTTGGTGGTCTTGAAGGAGCCCCTACTTCCCCCAGCGCTCTAAGGGAAATGAACTTTAATCAGCAAAGGGCAAAACAATGTTGAGCATTTTGGTGACCTTGGGAAGCTACTCCATCTGGTACCTGCCCACCTCCTGCCTTCTTTCTCCCCATCACAGTTCCTTCTGCAGCAGGTAGAGAAGCGGGCAATGAAAGGGGGCACCCAGGGAGGCAGCTTTTCCCAGTTAGGCCTGAGGTCATGGGGAGACAGGATGAGGCGGGGCGAGGGTGTGTCTCAGGATGCACAGCTCCAAAAAGGGAGGAGAGCCGGGCACCGCTGAGCTCTGGCCCCAGGGCTGCAGCAGGGTAAAGTGGAAGGACAGTGTGGCTGGCAGACGCAGGGAACAGAGCCGAGGGCACATCCCAGTCCATTCAGGCCCCCCAGGCCCACTGCTCCCAGTGGGGAGGGAACAGGAAGCTGTGACTTCCTCTCTCCTTTCCTTCCCTGCTCTTAGCCTCAAGGTCACTTGCTGCCGAAATGAATTCCAACCTGTGTTTAGGCTGGCGCTGTTTCCTGGGCATGGTGATGACAGTTGCTCTCTTCCACCACAAACACCCCAAAATTCTCCTTTGAAATAAAGTCACCCATGCAAAGACAACGCAGTGCTTCATGAAGCGACTGTCTGTGAGAATCTTAAGCAAGGACACGGGTGTGGGGGAGTAAAGGCACTCACTTACAGCAGCGGCTGTGGGGCTCTAGAGTCCCCAGTCTCCTCTCCCCATTCCCTCTCTCACACCCCTGCCTGGCCCTGCCCCACCCACTGCCAATCTTGACCAACAGGGAGGGGGTGGTTTTCCTGTCCACACCCCTCCCTCAGAGGTGTGGGCGGGGGCTGGGCTCCTGGCTGCTGGAGGCCCCTGGCAGGGCTCAGAGCCACGTCCTCCTGCTGAGCTGAGCCACCGAAGCCCCTCTGCTCGGGGCCACCAGCTACCGAGGCCCTTCTGCTCGGCGCCACCAGCTGCCGATGCCCCATGATGCCCACGCCCAACACTTCTGGCCCTGTGCCCACGTTCTTCTGGGCCAACGCCTCCGGAGGCAGCGTGCTGAGTGTTCCTGACACCGCGATGCCGGTTGAATTCCTCGTCCTGAGGGTCGTGGTCGCTCTGGCCTATGGGCTTGTGGGGGCAGTTGGCTTGCTGGGAAACCTGGCCGCACTGTGGGTCCTGGGCAATCGTGCTCAGCGAGCCCCCAGCCCGCCTTCCGACACCTTCGTTTTCAACTTGGCTCTGGCAGACCTGGGGCTGGCACTCACCCTCCCCTTCTGGGCTGCCGAGTCGGCACTGGACTTCCACTGGCCCTTCGGAGGCGCCCTCTGCAAGATAGTGCTGACAGCCACCGTCCTCAATGTCTACGCCAGCATCTTCCTCATCACGGCGCTCAGTGTGGCCCGCTACTGGGTGGTAGCCATGGCCGCGGGGCCGGGCGCCCACTTCTCGCTCTTCTGGGCCCGCACGGCCACCTCGGCAGTGTGGGTGATGGCTGCCCTGGTGACGGTGCCCACGGCTGTCTTCGGGGCCGAGGGCGAGGTGTGGGGTGTGCGCCTCTGCCTGCTACGCTTCCCCAGCAGGTACTGGCTGGGAGCCTACCAGCTGCAGAGGGTGGTGCTGGCCTTCATGGTGCCCTTGGGCGTCATCACCACCAGCTACCTGCTGCTGCTGGCCTTCCTACGGCGGCGACGGCGGCAGGACAGCACAGGGGTGGCCCGCTCTGTCCGCATCCTGGTGGCCTCCTTCTTCCTCTGCTGGTTCCCCAACCATGTGGTCACTCTCTGGGGGGTCCTGGTGAAGTTTGACCTGGTGCCCTGGGACAGCACCTTCCACACCATCCACACCTACGTCTTCCCTGTCACCTCCTGCCTGGCCCACAGCAACAGCTGCCTCAACCCTGTGCTCTACTGCCTCCTGAGGCCGGAGCCCCGGCGGGCTCTGGCTGGCGCCTTCAGGGATCTGCGGTCCAGGCTGTGGCCCCGAGGCCGGGGCTGGGTGGAGCAGGTGGCCCTAAAGAAGGTAGGCAGGCGGTGGGTGTCGAGCACCCCGCCCGAGAGCGGTCCTTCGGCCACGCTCACTGCCCTGGACAGAGGGACGCCCGGGTGAGTGCACCGCCCACTGAACTCTGCCCCTTCTGGGGTCTGCCTGGGCCGGCATCCACGCAGTCTCAGAACAGGGGCCCTGGCAGCCAGGCCACAGCACCCTCAGGGAACGTCTGGTCTTGGACCCCCAGCATTGGCCTTGGTGGAACACGGGAGGCCCGGGCCCAGTTCAGGGCTGGCTGTGATGAAGATTTGTCTGAATGGAGCAGGGAAGAGGAGGATCTGAAAATAAACCTCTGGATTATCCACGAATGGTCTTGACCCTTTGTCCCAGCGCTACCTTCATTCAGCATGGACAAAAGGATTCTTTGCCCCATGTCTGCCTTCTTTAAGAAGGCCCAGGGAAAGTCTCCCCTTGGGTTTCTCCTTCCTTCCTTCCTTCCTTCCTTCCTTCCTTCCTTCCTTCCTTCCTTCCTTCCTTCCTTCCTTCCTTCCTTCCTTCCTCTCTCTCTCTCTCCCTCCCCCCTCCCTCCCTCCCTTCCTCTCTCTCTCTCAAGATTTATTTGCAAGGCAGAGTACTGAGAGAGGGAGAGACAGTGACAGCGGGATCTTTCATCCACTGGTCACTCTCCAAATGGCCGCAAAATCAGGGGCTGGGCTGGGCCAAAGCCTGGAGCTTCTTCCACCACGTCTCCCAGGCGGGTGCAGGGGCCCAAGCACTTGGGCCATCTTCCGCTCCTTTCCCAGGCCATTCGCAGGGAGCTGGATGGGAAGTGCAGCAACTGGGACTTGAACTGGCACCCCTAGGGGATGCTGGTGTCACAGGTGGTAGCTTTACCTGCTATGCCACAGCGCCAGCCCCTACCCTTGGGCTCCAAGCTAAGGATCACAGGTCAGTACCCATCTCTGTTGGTCCCTTCCACCTTCCACCATCACCTCAAAACAAGGTGTCCCTTGCTTTCTGATACCAAAGCCAAACGCCCTCTTCCTCGGCCACCCCCGTCTTCTCACCGTGCCGGTGGTGCGCGCGGAGACTCCGTACCAGCAAGAGGTCTCAGCTGCAACAGCTGCAGTTCCCTACAGACGGGTGCCAGGTGTGGGATCTCCCTGGAATCTTCGGCACCTGCCGGATGCTAGGTGTGAAACCCAGGTCTGACCGGGAGTCCCCGCGTTTCTCTTTAAATCGTAATGAAGGGCACTAATGACAAGATCATAACAAGTCAGACATGGGTGGAGCAGGGGAAGTGAGAGACGCAGAAAGAGGCAGAGAGGAGGCTGAAGGTAGGGCCGGGGGAGTGGAAAGCACACGAGGAGGTGCTGGTCTCCTCCCCACACTGGGTGCATGGGTGCAGAGCACAGTGTTAACAGCTCGGCTGTGCGAGCACCCTCATTTACACCTGTACCTCTGCCAGTTCTTTACCTCCCTGTGTCTGAGTTTTCTCATCTGCAGAAACAGGCTGTTGAGGATTCAACAGTGCATGAAATACAGCGCCTGCAATTATTCTCCCATCACACATTAAACGGAGATGGAAGCGCAGTGAGGAAGTGAGGGAGCAGATTGGAGACGGGGAGGGGGGGGTCTCAAGTGAATAACCGCAAAGTCAGACAGAGAACAGGGGCCGGCCTGTGGCACCGCGGGGTACGCCGCCACCTGCTATGCCTTTATCCCATATCCGAGCGCTGGTTTGAGCCTTGGCTGCTCTGCTTCCCAATCCAGCTCCCTGCTAATGTGTTGTGGGAAGCCAGTGGAGGATGGCCCAGCTACTTGAGCCCCTGCTACCCATGTAGGGGAGAACTGGATGGAATTCCTGGCTCCTGGCTTCAGCCTGGCCCAGCTCTGGCAATTGTGGCCATTTGGGGGGTAAATCGGGATGGAAGACCTCGCACTCTGCCTTTCAAATGACCTTAAAAAAAAAAAAAAAGGAGGAGCTGCCCCTTCCAGCTCCACTTGAAGATGTGTTTCCAAGGGCAAGGGGTTCCCTGGTGGCTTCCATATTCCTGAGACCCGAGTGATAAAGGGCGGGCATCAGAGGAGATGCAGGGAAGACAGGGTGGAGGCCCCCCTCCCACGGCCCCTGCTCCTGGCCTATCAGGAGGCTGTGGCACCTGCGGGGGCCCTGCCCCAGGTCCAGTCCGTGGCTGGGCAGAAGTCTCTGCCACCTGCCAGATTCGCAGCAGCTCAGGCAACAGGAGAGAGATTTAATTGGCTTCTTGATGTTTAATTTCCTCTCCTTGATAATGTTTAAACTGGTTCCAAAACTTCCGGGCTGCTCCTGGCCAGTTCAGGATGGAAAACCCTCTCTGCCCCAGTGAAGCACCCCCTCCTCCCGCCCCCAGCAGCTTCTGGCTGCACTCCGGATATTGGCTCCCTGGGAGGCATCTCTGAGTGTGGGACTCAAGGTAAATATTGACCGAATCCACACAGGTCCAGGTCAGAGATGAGTGACTGTGCGTGGACCCATGGTCCTTGGGCGGGTGTGGGTGGGGGACATGGAGGGTGAAGGGATGAGGAGGAGGGGCTGGTAAATGTGGGCCCAGCTCATTTCTGAGTGGGAAGGAGGCAGCATTTTGGGGAGAAGCTGGACCCTGGCTCCCTAGAGCAGAAAGACGAAGCTTTGCAACTGCGATGGGGGGGCCGCTCCAAAGTGGAATTCAGAGGGTCGGCGCTATGGCGTAGCAGGTTAAGCCACCGTCTGCAGCACTGATATCCGATATGGGTGTCAGTTTGAGTCCTTGTTGCTCCACTTCCAATCTAGCACCCTGCTATTGTGCCTGGGAAAGCAGTGGAGCATGGCCCAAGTGCCTGGGCTCTTGCACCCATGTGGGAGACCCAGAAGCTCCTGGCTTCTGGCTTTGCCATGGCCTGGCCCAGCTCTGGCCATTGCAGCCATTTGGGGAGTGAACCAGTGAATGGAAGATCTCTCTCTCCAGTTCTTTCAAATAAAATAAATCTTAACACACACACACACACACACAAGGTGGGGTTCAGGAGGGGCCTGGTTGTTGGACCCCATGTGGGGTGGGACACAGAGAAAGGGGGTCCAGTGAATGGGCAGCACAGGCCCGGCAATCCAGGAACTCTGGGACCTGTCTCCAGGGTTCCCCGCTTCCTCCCTGCCCAGCACAACTCACTGGGTCCACAGGGCAGGTTGGGGAAACTTGGCCCCTCCCCTGGCTTGGTGGTCTTTGGACGCTACTATCCCCTCCCACGCCACCACTGCCCATCTCCCTCCCACGCCACCACTGCCCATCTCCCTCCCACGCCACCACTGCCCATCTCCCTCCCACCACTCCACCCTCACAGTTTTGGGTCCCAGCTGCTTCCAGCTGACGTAACAGCTGCAGAGGCACGGTTGTTCTGGGAACCTACAGTGCTGGTATTTTTAGGCAGAGCTGGGAGGCAGGGCGGGGTGGGGGGGTTAGGAGTGGAGTTCTGGAATGAGGCAGGCTGGCCCCTTCCTGACCCACCCAGCTGGGCCTGGCAGCCCTTCTGCACCCAGGTGACCCTGTGAGTAGTCACAACAATTGTAGCCTCCCAGGATTCCCATAGAGCTGGGGTAATCCTTTTTTCTGCTAAGGACCATTTGGCTATTTATACCATTCATGGGTTATTAAAAAAATCAACTTACGGGGTCAGCGCTGTGGCACAGCAGGTAAAGCCACCCCCTACAGTGCCAGCATCCCATATGGGCATCGGTTCAAGTCCCGGCTGCTCCACTTCTGATCCAGCTCTCTGCTATGGCCTGGGAAAGCAGTAGAAGATGGCCCAAGTGCTTGGGCCCCTGCACCTGTGTGGGAGACCTGGAGGAAACTCCTGGCTTCAGATCGGCCCAGCTCCTGCTAATGCAGCCATTTGGGGAGTGAACCAGAGGATGGAAGACCACCACCCCAACCCCACCTCTGCCTCTCAAATAAATAACATTTTTTTTAAAAAAGGATCAACCTAAAAATTAGCCTGCAGTGTTGGTGCTGTGGCACAGTGGGTTAAGCTGCCATCTGTGACACCAGCTTCCCACACGAGCACCAGTTTGAGCCAAACTGCAACAGTTCCAATCCAGCTTTCTGCTAACGCATCTGGGGAAGCAGTGGAGGATGGCCCAAGAGCCTGGGCACCTGCACCCTCCGTGGCAGACCCAGATGGAGTTCCAGGCTCCTGGCTCTGGCCTTGCCCAGTGCAGCCCCGGCCACTGCAGCCATCTGGGGAGAAGCCAGCCAGTGGATGGAGATCTCTCTGTAGCTTTTTTTTTTTTTTTTGGCAGGCAGAGTGGACAGTGAGAGAGACAGAGAGGAAGGTCTTCCTTTGCCATTGGTTCACCCTCCAATGGCCGCTGCGGCCGGCACACCACACTGATCTGAAGCCAGGAGCCAGGTACTTCCTCCTGGTCTCCCATGCAGGTGCAGGGCTCAAGCACTTGGGCCATCCTCCACTGCACTCCCGGGCCACAGCAGAGAGCTGGACTGGAAGAGGAGCAACCGTGACACAACCTGGCGCCCCAAATGGGACTAGAACCCGGGGTGCCGGCGCTGCAGGCCAAAGATTAGCCTAGCGAGCCGTGGCGCCAGCCTCATAACTCTTTCAAATAAATGAATTTAAAAAAAAAATAAATTTGCTACAGATTTATTGAATTTCAAGTCCCGCCTGCGGTTGCCTTGGCTGGGCCAGACCCAGTGACTGCCCAGAGGCCAGCCAGCCCCACCCCTGCGGCAGAGGATGAGAGCAGCTTATCAAGGCCAGATGCTGCAGTTTCCACTCCCCTCTCCGGGCACGTCCCGAGCTCCATCCTCCCACCCAACAGGCACCGAGGGGGATGCACACGCCTTCCCTCCTCTCCTGGCCCAAGAGGAGGGCCTCAACCAGACCCAGGAAGTGAAGCCGGTCACCCCTGGGACGGGTCACCCCGGGCTCTGGCCCTATAAAATGAGCCAGGGCAGGGCGGGGGAGGAGGTAGCAGCAAGTGTGCCCACCGACGCCACATCCGAAGGTAAGATGCAAACACTTTTTCTGGTCTTAGAATCCCCAACAGCCTCTGGAATCTGACCAGGTGTTCTTCATTTTATCCTCAGATTTGTGAAGTTTAAAGAAAACCAAAAAGGTCAGCGCTGTGGTGCAGCAGGTAAAGCCACCACCTGCAGTGCCAGCATCCCGTATGGGCAGCAGTTCGAGTCCCAGCTGCTCCACTTCCAATCTAGTGCTCTGCTCTGCTATGGCCTGGGAAAGCAGCAGAAGACGGCCCAGTGCCTTGAGCCCTTGCACCCTAGTAGGAGACCCAAAAGAACCAGGGTTCCTGATCGGCACAGCTCCGGCCATTGTGGCCATCTGGAGAGTGAACCTGCAGGTGGAAGATCGACGTCTTTCTGTTTCTGCCTCTCTGTAACTCTGCCTTTCAAATAAATAAATAAATAAATCTTAAAAAAAAAAAAAAAAGGCATCCCAGCATGCTCTTCTCTCAGTGGCCCTCTTGCCAGTGAGGCAGAGATGGCCCAGATGAGGTAGTTCCGGCACTGGCCACCCACCACCGTCGCCCTCACAACTGGCAGACATCAGGAGAGACAGCACCTCATGGGGTTCCAGGTCTTTAATTTTCCCTGATTTTTTTTTCCTTAACAATCAAATTGGCAGAAAAATGACTGGAGCTGGTGGGCACTGGGGTCTGATGAGAAAACCCCAAATTCACGCTGAGGTTTCAGGGCACGGTTGCTGAGGTGGGAGATGAGGCCAAGGGTTCGTGGCGATTCCCCGACCCCACCTTGAACTTTTCCCCAGGAGGCTGGGGGAGAGGTCAGATGGGTGCCCATTGCTGCAGGCGTGGGGAGCAGTCACTGTGTACCCCCTCCCCAGGTTCACAGATGTGCAGCTGGAAGGCTACAGTCCCTAATTGCCTACATTCTTCTCTTAAAAATATAGAACACGTGCAGCCGGCTTTGGTACAAAAAAAAGAAAAGAACAGAACAACAAACATTCTGGTCCCTGTGGGTTTCCCTCCCCCCACCCCACAAACCACGAGGGCCACCCAGTCTCTAGTCCAGGGGCCCCAGTAAGCCGGAGGGTCTCCCTGGGACTTCCGCGGGGGGGCGGGGAGAGGGGGATCAGCAGTATGAGGTTGTGGGGAGAGGGAGAGGGAGCAGGCCACGGCCCCACCCCGAGCCCCCTGAGGGGGCCGCAGGGTCCTGCAGCTGCAGCCCCTCCTCAGACGGGGGAGCGGGTGGGGCGTACGGCGTGGTTAAGCCTGGTTTCACCCCGGTAGTGTTAAAGGACAAGGCCCCCGACCCCTATGGCTTGGTTCCCATGTCCCTGGTCCTTTAAATTTCCCCTCTCCCCCCCAATAACTAATAAACAATAAATAAATAAATTTTCCTAAAGTAGAGGGAAGAAGGCATGAAAAGTTGGCATCTGTGGTATAGCTTCCGGATGCCCCCCGTGGGGACCGTGGCCTAATATCCCCCCGACTCCCGGCTTCCTAAATGGCCCCAGGTATCCAAGGAGCCCGGAAGCTGGCAAGGACAGTCAACAGTTCTTTGCAATGTTCCCTCGTCATTGGCAGAGTGGAGTTCCCGAGTGTGGCCCCCAGCAGTCTCCAGTGGGGCACAGGGCAGCGGGGAGGGCGTCCTTAGCTCTCAGAAGCTATAGGCTCCCCATCGCGGCTCTCCGTCTCCTCCGGGATGTCCTGCATTCGGGTGAAGTCTGAGGGGGACAGGGCAAAGCCAGCGAGTGAGCAGTCTCCCCTGGAGGAGCCACGCCCCTCCCTTGGCGCCTCCCTCTCTGCTCACAGGGCGGAGGGGGAACCTCCTGCATGCACTTGGCATACCTGGAGGTATACAGAAAATCCAAGGCATTTTCAGAGTATCCCCCTTATGCCTCCTGGGGACCCAGAACTCCACGGCCCTTCCGAGAGGGACTGCGGGCCCACGCACAAGCCCCAGGTCAAGGGCTCTCACCTCGGGGACTGTGGGGTGGAGACAGCCGGCTGCTTCCTTCTTCCTCACTGCCGGTGTCAGCGTCACTGCTGTCCTGCAGCCGCTCCTCAGGGCTACCTAGCTCCTGCCTCTCTCGGTCCTCAAAGGGTCGATGTACGGAGCGGATGGTCACGGGCAGGTCCAGGCGGTCGTGGCCTCGGTTGGGCTGTGGACAGCAGGCCAGGGGCTGAGCAGGGCGGTGAGGGCAGGCTCTGCCAAGCCAGGGCCCACTGAACCCCCCACCACTCAATCAGCATCACTACCCTGGCTGCTTAGGTTCTCCGGGCCCTCCTGTCTGTCTCAGGTACGTCCCCCCCTCCCAGCGCCTCACCTGTGGTGGGGTGAAGCTCAAGTACAGGGCGTCTCCCGCAGGGAGGCTGCGCCGCCGGGGATCCAGGGGCCTACGGGCCCAGGGCGCCTCCACCGGGAGCGGCTCTGTGTGGCCCAGGGCGGCCAGCTGCCTGCGGGCCTCCTCAGCCTCCCGCTCCAGCAGGGCCCGGGCCTGCTCGCTCTCGCGGAGCCGGGCTTCTAGGCTGCCAGCCTCGGTCGCCCGCTCCTCCCCCAGGCGCCGGCAGCGCCGCAGCTCCTCCTGCAGCAATGCGTGCTGCCGCTGCAGCAGCGCCAGTTCCGTGGCCTGCTTCTCAGGAGCCACAGGGCCAGCCCCGGCCCTGCCGGCGTCCCCATCCCGCGAGTTGGCTCGGGACAGCTTCTCCCGCCGCTCAGGGCCCTCGGGGAACCGGGCTTCCATCAGGGTGTCTTGCTGAGCCACAGCTGCCTGTTGGAGGAACGGGCACCAGAGGGTATACCAGAAACCTGTTTTCGCTCTCCTTCCCCCTCATCCTGCCCCTCTGCCTGCACCGGCACCCGAGGGCCAGGACTCGACTGGCTCCTCCCCTTGTCCCACTGACCTGGAGGCCATGCAGGAGTCCGTAGAGGTTGACCAGTCGCTGTAACACCTCCTGGGAACAGACAAGGGAGGTGGGAACAAGGCCTGAGTTTCAGGATGGAGAACTGCCCGGAAGCTGGGCAGCAGTATCCAGGGAGACCTCTGAAGTCCAGACTCTGCCCCGCACCCCAGTTTCCCCGAGACCTGCCCTTCAGTCACCTGTACCGTCCCATCCCCAACTCACCTCCTGGGGAGCTCTCAGCTGGTTTCCATTTCGATCCTGCAGAAAGGAGGGTAGGGGTCAGCAGGTGTGCAAGTCCCGCCCTGGCGTCTCCCTTTCCCACCCCGCAGTCTCTCGGGGACCCACCTTCTGGCTGGAGTCCGAGTCGGCTCTGCAGAGCTCAATGGAGCCGTTGAAGGTCCTGGCCTCACCGTCTGCAGACGTGACAGGGCAGGGCTCAGCTCACCCTCGCAGGATCCCAGCAACCCTCAGTCCCCGGGACTGCCCCTTCTCCTCAGCCCCTCCCACCTACTACCTTGGTCCCCTGCCCTGGCACTCACTGGCAGTGACCCCAGGGCTCGTGTTACCACCGCTGTCTGGTTCCAAGGGCAGGGTGGGTTCCCGAGGCGTCCAGAGCTGCTCCACTCCAGGCCCCACGAGCAGGTCCTTCAGGCCCTCCACTGAGGGGACAGAGGACCTGGTGAGCGCGCAGTGACACGGAACCCGCTACAGGGCGCCAATCACCCAGCACACGGGGCACATTTGGGCGGCCAGGAGAGTGAAGGGGCAGCCCTAGAGCTGTTGCCCGGTGGCAGGGACCAAGCCTCCTGCCCCAGAACTGGTACTCGGGGACACTGGGGGCTGACAAGCCTTGTCTGTGTGTCCAGGTCTGGCCACATGTCCTTATTCTGGGCCAGTGGGTACGTGCCCCTGGATTTCTCCCCGGGAGCGCACTCACCCTCTCGGATGGCATCCTGCAGCAGCCGCTCGCCTCGAGGGGACTCGAGGGACTCGGAGCGGAAGAGGCCCCTGGGCAGGGTGGGCAGGGGCATCCCGCTCCCGCCATCCTCCTCGGCCTGGAAGTGCGTCATCTCGGCAAACAGTCCAACCTTCTCCTGTAGCAGCTCCACCAGCGCCCGGTCCTTCTGTTGCAGCTCCACTGGGGGGGGTGGGGGGACAGGTGAGCACATGGGAGGCAGCAGTAGGGGTAGGGGAGACAGAGGGGCGGCCCCACGGGCAGGGTGGCAGCACTCAAGTGTGGCTTTTGTGGCATTTATGAAGAACAGACGTTTTTGAGGGAAAAGGAACACATGTCCTGTTTTGTCTTTAAACTCATTTGAGAGACGGAGAGAGAGATCCCTTCCATCTGCTGGTTCACACCCCTGCAGCATCCTCTGGGAACGGGTCAGACCAAAAAGCTGGGAGCTGAGAACTCCATCCAGGTCCCCTACGGGGGTGGCAGGAACCCGGCTCCGTGAGCCACCACCTGCTGCCCTGCAGGGTGCACTCCCACAGAGAGCTGGAATTGGGAGCAGAGCCAGGAACTTGACTCCAAGCACCCTGGTGAGACGTGGGCATCTGAACTGATGTCTCAACCAACCAGACCAACCCCTCCCCAGACTGTACTTTAAAAATAAAAATGGGGGCCGACGCCATGGCTCACTTTTTGGTTAATCCTCTGCCTGCAGCACTGGCATCCCATATGGGCGCCGGTTCTAGTCCTGGTTGCCCCTCTTCCAGTCCAGCTCTCTGCTGTGCCCTGGGAAGGCAGTGGAGGAGGGCCCAAGTCCTTGGGCCCTGCACCCGCATGGGAGACCAGGAGGAAGCACCTGGCTCCTGGCTTTGGATCGGCGCAGTGCACCAGCCGTAGCAGCCATTTGGGGGGGTGAACCAACAGAAGGAAGACCTTTCTCTCTCTCTCTCACTGTCTAACTCTGTCAAAAAAGTTAAAAATAAATGAATAAAAAATAAAAACGGGGTGAGTGTTGTCACTCAGTGGGTTAAGCCACCACTTGGGACACTTACATCCCATATCAGAGTGCGATCTGAATCTTAGCTACTCTGCTTCTGATCCAGCTTCCTACTAAAGCACCCGAGGAGGCAGTGGATGATGGTTCAAATGCTTGGGTCTCTGGGGGCCGGCGCTGTGTGTAGTGCATTAAGCCACTGCTTGCAGCACCAGCATCCCATATGGGCGCTCATTCAAGTCCCAGCTGCTCCGCTTCTGGTCTAGCTCCCTGTTCATGTGCCTGGGAAGGCAGTGGAGGATGGCGCAAGTGCCTGGGCCCCTGCCACCCATGTGGGAGACCCAGAAGCAGCTCCTGGCTCCTGGCTTCGGCCTCATCCAGCCCCAGCCATTGTGGCCATTTGGGGAGTAAAACAGCGAATGGAAGACCTCTCTAACTCTGTCTTTCAAAATAAAATAAATAAGATGCTTGGGTCTCTGCCACCCACGTGGGAGACCCAGATGGAGTTCCAGGCTCCTGGCTTTGGATTGGCCCAGTCCTATTGTGGGCATTTGAAGAGTGAACCAGCAGATGCAAGGTCTCTCTGTGTCTCTCTGCCTTTCAAGTAGATGAAGGTAAATAAACATTTAAAAAACTGAGACGACTGTGGGCTGGACTGTCCACCAGGGTTTGTTCCTCCTGACCTTCAGTAGAGAGCTGCACACAGGCTTCACCAGGGTGCACGGTGGCCCAGTTCATGACCATGCTCCCCAGCCCGACTTGTGATTAGATGCTGCCATGTTCAATTCTAGAAATGGGGATTTACTTCACCCCTGCAAGCTGCGATGTAAATGTGACAGTGGGAGCTGCGGCAGCCACTGTGGACAGAGATGGACGCTTCACGTCAGAGGCGGCAATGCTGCACCGCTACTCTGAGCTTCCTACTTCAGAAGGTTCCATAGAGACCTTCTCCCTCTGTTTTAATTCTGACTGCTCCTTCAATGATGTCTTTTCTTAAGCTTGTTTATTGAATTGATTTGAAAGGCAGAGTAACAGAGAGAGATTTTTCCATCCATTGATTCATTTCTCAAATGCCCGCAACAGCTGGGGCTGGGCCAGGCTGAAGCCAGGAGCCTGGAACTCCATCCGGGTCTCCCACGTGGGTGGCAGGGGGCCCTGCTGTCAAGCCAGGGCCTTCACCAGCAGGAAGCCGGAGTCTGGAGGGAGCCAGGCATCAGACCCAGGCCCCACCATGGATGCAGGCATCTCAACCTGCGTCTACCGACCAGGCCGGGTGCCCAGGGCGGTGCGCCTCTTCATTAACTGTAGACTCTACTACATGAACTATCACATGCCGTTTAGCGAGCTCCCAGTGGGCGGACTTACTCTTGATTCGCCGTAGGTAAGCCTCGTCTTCCGTCTCAATCAGGGGGAAGTCCTCCCTGGAGGGGCATCTGGCCGGGCAGAGGCAGGGAACACAGTCAGGACGCCGGCCAGACATCGGCCCTGGGCCTTCCCAAACGCCTCCTAGTCTCCCCTCTTCTGCGAACACCCTCGGCCGCATGCCCTGGCCGCACTCTCTCTCGACTCTCCCCTGTTCTTAGCACCGACTGTCTGCATTTCCTGCTGTGCACCTCTCCAAAGGTCACCTGGAAAGGCAGCACGGAGCGGAGGGCCAAGTACAGGCTCTGGCACCAAGCAAACCCAGGTTCAAGTCCCAGCTCCACCATTTACCAGGGGGCGGCTGCTCTACTTGCTCGTCTGAAAAAGGAGGCTAATGACGCCCTCACGTTGTTGTTTTTGTTTTTTGTTTTTGGTTATGAGTAAATGAAATGCAGTAGTGTTTTGACCGAGACAGAAGGTCAATGAATCAAATGTAACTAATGTTAATCATAATTTTCCTGATAACAAATATCTATACTACTAAGAGAATCCATTGTCGGTGGGACGGGTGTTTTTCTCCTAAAACAGACGATTTCATATTTTCGTATGCGTTTCTGAAAAACATGTTCAAAAGTCTAAACTGAAAAAAAAGTCTAAATTTAAGTAAAACAAAAACAAAAACAAAAACAAAAACAAAACAGGTTTACATACTAGAAGAAGGCAATCCTTGACAGCTAAAAAAAATTTTTTTTAATCCAAATTAAGAGTTCCTTCTTCAGGCACAAATCTTGGAGAACCCACGCGTGGGGCATGGGCCGGGCGGGCGCTGGCCCGGTCCCGCCTGCTGCCGCAGCGACTCTCAGGACACTTGCTGGGGTCCGTACCTTCGTTATCCTCTTTAGGAAATACAGGGAAAGTGAGATGCAACCGGCATACGCGCCGCCTGCCTGCAGACCCTGACGCTAACGCAGCTGAGCTTGTCCTGTCGGCCGGCAGCTACGCCCCCGGGGACAGCTCACGGTCCCTGGTTTCTTGTCCGCTCACGCTACCCTGGGAACTACGACGACGCTAGGACGTGCAGCACAGCAGCCGCCCGGCCCGGCCCGCGGCTGTTCTGCTCCCAGGGCGCACACTCACACGCGCACGCTCTGCTGGATGACGCGGATCCAGGTGCTCCGGTCGTCCCGGGACGCGGTGTGCACCTCGTACATCTCAGGAGGGGCCGCGCTGATCAGAAACATGCCTTTCTCCTGGTTGGCGATGTCCCGGACAATCAGATTCTGCAGGGACACCACTGACGACTTGTCCTGCCAGGCAGAGGAGGGGAAGGGTTGAGCCCGGGGATTCCCGGCCCTCGGACACTGCAGTCTCGGCAGACGGAAGCCGCTCTGCGGTACGAGGGAAGAACCCAGGCTTGGTGGGGGCCAGGCGGGACTGAGACGCAGCTCCCTTTGCTCTGCGCTCCACTTGGGGATGATCACAGGCCTCCATGGCAGGTGCGACTCCTGTTAGCTCACCTTGCCTTTGATTACTATAGTGCAACGTGGGCGACCCGCAGTGGTCTGTGGGGGACTCATCCAGGACCCCCGTGAACACAAGACGCCCAGGATGCTCACGTTCCTTATACAACACGGGGCAGTGTTTACATGAACCTAAGCCCAGCTCCTGTCTGCTTTGAAATCGTGTCCAGGTCACTCACTACGCCTAATACCCTGTACGTGGTGTAGGAACAGTCGCTACGCGGCATCGTTCAGGGACTCATGGCGAGACAGTCTGTGCATCCGCGGCAGAGATGGCTGCTGGGCTATGGGGCACTCCAGGGCTCTGCAGGGCGTGCAGAGGAAAGTGGGGGATGGGCAGGGGGACCCTGAAACCCTTGACTGTGCTGAGAAAGCACAGAGGACTCACCAGGGCGGGGAAGATGTACTTCTGGTCCTTCTCCTGGAGGAACACCAGCACGTCGGTCATGAGCAGCAGCAGCACGTCTGGAAAGGGATAAGCACGGGAGAGGTCAGCCCTACGGGGCCTGCGCGGCTGCTTCAGGCTCTGCCAAGGCCCGGGCCTACCCCACGGGCTGAGGGCGCCGCTCCCCCGTCCTGTGGCCTCTCTTCCGTCTCTCCGTTTTTTTCTATTTATTTATTTATTTATTTATTTTTATTTGACAGGTAGAGTTACAGACAGTGAGAAACAGAGAGAAAGAAAGGTCTTCCTTCCATTGGTTCACTCCCCAAATGGCCGCTATGGCTGGTGCTACGCTGATCCGAAGCCAGGAGCCAGGTGCTTCTTCCTGGTCTCCCATGCGGGTGCAGGGGCCCAAGCACTTGGGCCATCCTCCACTGCCTTCCCGGACCACAGCATAGAGCTGGACTGGAAGAGGAGCAACCAGGACTAGAATCGGCACCCATATGGGATGCTGGCACTGCAGGCGGAGGATTAACCAAGTGAGCCACGGTGCCGGCCCCTCCTCTTATTTATTTACTGGGAATAGATTTCATATACACACTTTTTTTTTTTTTTTTTTTGTTTGACGGGCAGAGTGGACAGTGAGAGAGAGAGACAGAGAGAGAAAGGTCTTCCTTTGCCGTTGGTTCACCCTCCAATGGCCGCCGCGGCCAGCGTGCTGCGGCCGGCACACCACGCTGATCCGAAGCCAGGAGCCAGGTGCTTCTCCTGGTCTCCCATGGGGTGCAGGGCCCAAGGACTTGGGCCATCCACCACTGCACTCCGGGGCCACAGCAGAGAGCTGGCCTGGAAGAGGGGCAACCGGGACAGAATCCGGCGCCCTGACCGGGACTAGAACCCGGTGTGCCGGCGCCGCAAGGTGGAGGATTAGCCTAGTGAGCCGCGGCGCCGGCCTCATATACACAGTTTTAAGAACATAATGACATCCCCTCATTCCATTTTTTTTTTTTTTTAATTTTTGCGACCTCTTCCTGTTCTTATAGCTCAGGAACATGGTAGGGGTAAAAACACACGAGGCCAGCGCCAGGGCATAGAAGGCTAAGCCTCCACCTGGGAAGTTGGCATCCCATATGGGCATCGGTTTGAGACCCGGCTGCTCCACTTCCGATCCAGCTCTCTGCTAATAGCCCTGGGGAAATCAGCAGAAGATGGCCCAAGCGCTTGGACCCCTGTACCCATGTGGGAGACCCAGAAGCTCCAGGCTCCTAACTTCCTCCTGGCCATTGTGGCCATTTGGGGAGTGAATCAGCGGATTCTCTCTCTCTCTGTCTCTCTATCTCTCTTTGTAACTCTGCCTTTCAAATAAAAAATAAATCTTTTTTTTTAAAAAGAAAGATAGATGCAGGATCAGACAGAACGGGCCCCTGGGCTAGCAAGGACCTTGGAGGAAACCTCCTAGGCAGCTGCTTCAGGTTTCCTACCTTAGGGGCCAGGGACACCCAGGAAACCCACTGTGGTGCTTCCGGGCCCTGCAAGCGCCAAGGCTGCGAGGACGGCTGTATCTACTACTGCGATACACGAACGCATCCTTTTGCCTGAAAAGGCCCCAGACTGGGCCAGAGTGGTCAGGATTCGCAGAGCAACAGGGCCCCGAGGTTTCCAGTCCCTTAGCCCAGACCTAACACCTGGAGAATGCCAGACCCCACAGTCCCTCCACCGCTAAGCAGGACACCTTCCCTCATCTGCCTGCTCCTCTCCTATCCGGCTCTCAGATCCCACAGAGTCCTACACTCTGTAGACTGAGGGAGGCAACCAAGGTCGGCTCTACAACACTTGGTGTCAAAGTCAGGGAAACACAGGCTCGCCCCTCGCCCTTGGGGGTTTTACTGAGCTGCGGGCACACAGCAGGGAAAGGCTTCTGCTAAGTGCTTCAGAAATGCAGCCCTCCCGCCTTGCTATTTTTAACCCCCCATGGTTTATATTCTTAGCTGCTGCGTGGGAGGGATGGGAAGGAGGGAAAGGGATGGAGGAGAGAGGCTGGTGTAAGGATGGGTACCCTCCACGCCCAGGGAGCAGGACTGCACGAAATGGGCCCCAAGGCCCGGGTGGCCACTGGCCACACCCATCACCCTTCACTTCCGTCCCTCACAGAGCCAAGGAGCTGCTGCTTTCTTGCCAGTGCAGGCAAATTCCGGAAAGAGCCGGGAACGTGTGCCCGGGCCCTCAACATGCTCCCTCTGCCCTGTTCTTTCCTCTGCACCTGCCCATCCTGCTCCAGGCTCGGTCCCCTCCCTCTTCTGGGCCTTTCCCTGGCCAGGCTCCCAAAGTGCCTGGTCTCTCCTCAGCCCTGAGACTCCAGCGCGGGGGAACCTGCAGCCCGATCTCACCCTCTGGTCTGAGAATCTGTCTTTTCCATTAAAACTGGTAGTTCTCTGGGCAGGCCAGGACCCGAGAAAGGCGTCTACAGTGCTAAGAAGCCCTAGTACAGTCCCTGAACTTAAACGCAGAATTCACACTTCTGCTGCACCGGACACTACGTTTTTCCCCGCAGCGAGCCAGCTCCTTGGCGTGGGCCACATGGAGCGGGGTCCTATGGGCTGGGTGGGACGCGGCTCCCACCCCTCCGCCCCTGCACTTGCGCCGCTCGGCCAGGCGGGCGCTGACCTTTGAAACGCCCCGTTGCCGTCTTCCAGAGCAGGCAGCCGTCGTGGATGAGCTTGCGCCGCAGAAGCTCCTCTCGGCCGAAGGGGCCCTTGCCAGGCACCGGGGCCTGGGCGCGGGGGTCCATGCGGTTGTAGATCTCCTGCAGCCGGGCCCCTTTCTCCAGCTCGTGCACATCCTGGTCCACGTTGGACAGCAGCTCCTTCACCAGCCCCAGCGCGGTCGTCAGGTCCTGGCGCTCCTCCTCCACTCCTGGCACCGGGGGTCGGCACAGCGGGCTTCATTCCAGCCCAATTCCCAGCGGGTCTTGAGCTCACCCCATGCCCCCAGCCCCAGTTCCCTGGGGTCATCCCAGGGAGCCCTCTCTCGCTGCCCCTCCCCCTCACCGTGGGCGTGCTGCAGGATGCGGCTGATGAGCACCGGGTACTTGGTGATGCGCTGAGTCACCAGTAGGATGCACTCCTGCACCCCATGCCGCTTTAGCACCGCAGAGCGGGTCACTTTCTGCAAGGAAGAGGCGGGGTTCAGGGCCATGGGGGCCAACCAGAGGAGTCCGCCGTGCCTGGGCACCCACAGGGCCCTGCCCTGTCACAGAGGGCTGCCTCAATGCCGAAGCCGACGGCGCCTGCGAGTGGACGGGCACACACGGGCTCGGACCCCGACTGCCCCCCCACACCTGGAGGGCTTCGCTCACCCGGATGAACTGCTGGAAGCGTTTGTCCCGGGCATACAGCTCCTTATAGAGCTTCAAGGCCTTGGTGTGGCGGCTGCAGAACTCCGAGTAGGTCTTCCGCATCTGCTCCGCGCTGGGGCCGGAGAACTGGACATCGGGGACAGACTGTGTCAGCACCCCCCACTCCCCCATGTCACACCCTCTCCCTTGGACCCACCTCCGGCCTCCTGCCACACGGGCCAGCTTCCCGCCTCGCCAGCTCGCCCCCGGACACCACGACCCTTCCCCAGCCCGTCCAGTTTGTCCACCCTGGCTACCCGTCCTTCCAGGAACTCGTCCCACCTGGTTGATGAGCAGGTCACCCAGGCGGTGGATGACGAAGTTGCGGGTGCTTCCAGGGCACAGGGCCTGGCGGCGGCGCTCCAGCAGCTGGCTGAGGAAGCGCGTGTGGATGTCGCTCAGCTCGTCCACGCAGGGGAACAGGCCCTGGACCACTCCGGGCTCCAGCTGCAGCTCTTCCAGCATCCCCGTGCGGAAGAGGCGGGTCATGATCTTCAGCGTCCTCACGTGGTGCAGCTCTGTCTGGATTAGCTCTGTGGGCACAACGGGACATCTGGCCTCCTCCGCCTGGCATGGCCACTGTGGGTGGGGTGCTGCAGGCTAATAGGGACCTCAGGGCACCCACAGGTCTTCAAGGCCCAGACCAGCTTAACATTCTGCATTACTAGGATCTTAGGTCATTCTCTAATAATCTTTTATCTGTAGTTATGCTTTGGCATTGCAAGCTGTAAGTTGTTTCAGAGCAAGGACCACGTTGTCTTCCACACGTCCGGCTTTCCCTAGCTCCGGGATAAGCACAGAACAAAGACTGCGGGCTGGCACTGTGGTGTTAACAGGTAATGGGTTAGGCTCCCATCTGCGATGCCGGCATCCCATATGGATGCCAGTTTAAGTCCCAGATGCTCCACTTCTGAACCAGGTCCCTGCTAATGTGCCTGGGAAAGCAGCAGAGGATGGCCCAAGTGCTTGGGCCCCAGCACCCACACTGAGAAAGCCAGAGGAAGCTGCTGGCTCCTGGCTTTGACCTGGCCCAGCCCTGGCCATCGTGGCCATTTGGGGAGTGAACCAGCAGGCAGAAGATTTCCCCCTTGCTATCTCTCCTCTTTGTAACTCTGCCTTTCAAATAAATAAAATAAATATTAAAAGACTGAGGAAGGAATTGGAGAAAGGACAAAGACAGGGCCTCGGAGACCGACAGCAACAGTGGTTGCACTGGGCTGCCAGGCAGCAGCACGGCGACCCGCAGGGAAAGAGGGGAAGGGCCTCGACAGGTGGTGGTGGGCAGAGAGGATGTGACGGGCAGGACCTGGTGAAGGCAGGGATGCGAGGGCGGACTTGGCTCACCATAGATGACATCCTGCTGCTTCATCACCTCCTTTTTGTGCTGCTGCAGGAAGCTGCCGTCCACGGCCAGGCTCCAGGAATCAGCTGCGAAGTCCTTCTCGTCCATCTCAAAGTCACTCATCAGCTCATTGTAGATCACCTCTGCACCTGGGCACGAGCCGGGGCAGCAACTCAGAGCCGAGTCCTCCTCCCGGGACCCCCTGCCAGGCTGCTTCCCAGCTGCCGCTCCTCGCCAACCCACCCACCTTCGTCAATGAGGGATTCCACCGACAGCGTCCGGTTCCGCACGTTGAGGGAGTCCGTGGACTGCGAGAGGATGCGGCGCAGCCCCAGGGGAGACTCATCGTTGAAATGGCTGAAGGAATTGGGGCTGTTGGCATCCCCCAGCACAGCCAGGATCCCAGAGGCAGCCTCCCCCCACCCCATGTCAAAGGACCGTTCCGCGCCCCCCACCTCAGGCTCCACTGCCGCGCTCTTGGCCCGCCTGGCTGCCCCGTTCCCAAGCAGGGGCTCACCCAGCAATATTGGTGGTGGACACGCTCTTGGCTAAGGACAGGGAGGTGCGGCCGCGGCGGGAGCCAAGGAGGGACTGCCGGAAGCTGTCCGAGGGGTAGATGGCAGAGCTGGGCCGCTCTCGGATGGTGGCTGGGGGTGCAGAGACCAAGAGGGCAAATGTTAACACTGGTGCCTTCGCAGGACACAGGCCTCCCAGCTTCCTCGGCTCTTGTCCAGGGGACGTGGTGGCAGCGGTGAGGACAAAGCCACCTTACTTCAATGCTCCCCAAGAACCTTGTCTTGTCTCTTTCTGGGAGCAAGCCCATGAGCAAAGTGAAGCTCAACAAGGGGCGGGGATTCGGCCAGTGGATGAGCAGGGTCTGGGGCTCGGCTCTTTTTGCCCTAGCACCTGGCTCCCCTGGAACAATGCTGTCTGAATCGAGCCATGACAGGTCGCCAATGCTGAGCACATCAGCAACAGCACAGGGGTGCGGCCGGGCTCAGGGGACTGGCCATCCCAAGCCTCAACCCCATTTGGGTCCTCCTGTCCAGGCTCTGAGCCAGAGGGTCTGGACTATCCCGTGTCCCTGCTCCCAGCTCCCCAAGGAGGAGAGCGGTGTTGTGCCTGTGAGTGACCTCAGGGGGGCAGCAGAGCCCACGGGCCGAGCAGCCTGGGGTCCGGGGTCTTCCTGGGGCCACTACTCACTCTTACTGCGGAGAGACACAGACTGCAAGGCAGTGTTGTTCTTCAGCAGGGCAGCTTTCTGTTGCTGCAAGACAGAGACACCAAGAACAGCCATCACCCACGGGTCGCCCCCACAGGCACGGGGAGGCACTGGCGCTGTGGCCCAGGGCTGCGGGGCTGCATTTGCAGCAGGTGCAGCAGGAGGCCTGGGGCTGAGGGTCTGGGCTGCCCATGGTGAGGACAGGGCTTGAGGCACACAGGGTAGGGATGAATGGAAGAGGGTACCGCACGCTCACTACCCTCTCCCCCAGCCCGCTGCCCTCCCCACCCTCTCACCTTCTGCTTGACCTTGGTACAGTTGGCGAGGGTGTCTTTACAGCGGTTGTGGATAGTCACATTGCAGGCTGGGAGGGTGGGTAGAGAGGGTGAAGGGAGGGTCGGGTGGTACAGGAGGGGACTCACCCCCACCCCAGCCCCTCTCCTCCCACCTCCCTCTTCCTGCCAGCAGGAAATGAAGTGAGAAGGGGTATGGATGTTTAGGGAAATTAAGCCAGCAGGAGGGGTGGTGTGAGGGGGGTCTAGAGAGAAGAGGTGCAAAGGTGGCTGGGACTGGTGGAGGGAAGAAAGGCCCCCCAAGGAACAGAAGACAGGGCAGCTGGGCCAGGGGCCAGGAGACCAGAGTGGGAAACACACATTCTCCCAGTACTGAGTGTTCCACCTGTGCCTAATCCTTTGGGAGAAATTCAATTATGCTCCTCTTCCAGTCACCTGCCAGCAGCAGCACTGGATTCGAACCAGACTCCCAAGGCCACACTCCTGCTGCCTCCCCACTCCCAGCATGCCTTGGACTCTGGGCCCAGGCACTTCTAAGGCTTGGGGGTCCAGCAGCAGAGTGGGGGCAGCCTGTGCCCTGCGCTGCCTTCTGCACCAACTCATCTGCCTTCTCTCTCCAGGCCCAGGGAGTCCTGTTCCCCCCAGCTAAGGCAAGCCCACAGCTCCCACATTCCATCTGCTTCTCCCCCATCCTCCCCGCCCCCAGCCCCAGGGAAGGAGAGGAGAGGAAAGGAGGAGGGGGCTGGGCCTGGGCACCCTTGGCCGGCCCTTTCCTTGCTGTCCGCTTCCCGCTTCCCAGAGGGGCCTTCAGCCCTTGGCCCTCCCGTTTCCCCTCCCCTGCCCAGCAACACCGGAAGCTCTGCTAACTCCTTCAGACAATACCCAGCACCGCGCTCACTTCCACAAATACAAGGCAAGCAGGGTGGGGCGGAGGGCACAGACAGAGGTGAGAGCTACAGCTCCCTGCCTCCCCGGCCCCTGCTCCCACCCCCAACACCTAGTGTCTCTGGATCGAACCTCCACTTTCCACCTGCTCTCAAAATAGCGCCGCCCGCCCTGTTCCCCTGGCAACAAGCTTCCGGATTGGGGACTCTGTCAGGTCTCTGGAGGGATGAGATGGGGTTCCCTCTTCATCCTCTTAACTAAACTGAGCGGCGAGGAAGCAGGGAGGCCTCATGGGTCGGCTCTCGGGGTTCCTTCCCCACGTCCCCACGTCCCCACGGGGGTTTACAGGTGAAGCCTCTGTCCTGCTCCCAGGCTGCCACTCACAATCCCTGCAGCAGCTCTGCCATAAAGCCAGGAGGTGCTGGGGGCGGGGCAGGCCAGGGCCTCCAGGGAAGGCAGGGGAAGGCAGGGATTCCGTGCTTACACTCCCCAATAGGGGGCTACCCTCAGACCGGACGTCTGGAGATAGGCAGTTCCGACTCCTGCCCCCTGCAGGCCGCCGTATTCCCCCTTCCCCCTAGAACCGTGAGACCCCAGGGGGCCTCATCCTGTCCTGTGCTGGAAACCACAGAGAACTGAGGCTCCGTGAGCAGCGAGGGGCAAGGCGACCCTGAAGTCTTGCCCAGAAGACGGGCAGCACCAGCTGGAAGGCTGCGCCCCCTGCACACACACACACACACACACACACACACACACGGCATTCCTGCTCCTTCCCCCACCAGTTCCCCTAACCCTCAGCAGCTGTTCAGGGAGCAAGGGGGATGCCCAGTGGGTGACAGCTGCGGGGGGGGGGGGGGCGGCAGGGCCTCGCCTCCCACATTCCCAGCTAGTCCTGCTTATGTCACATCCCACCAGCCACCCCCCTCCCCGTGGGAGCAAAGGGAGCAAGGGGGCCCGGCTGCGGCTGCGGCTCCAAGAGGAGAGCGGCCCTGGCGGACCAAGGCAAAAAGGACAGGCGGGAAGATCGGGGTCACGGGGCACCGCGTCTGAGCGACACTCGGGGTCCGAACAACTCACTCGGGCAGATGAGGGCCTCCTTGGCTGTGATGCTCTTGTTACAGGCATAGCACATGGTCATGCCCGACACGGAGATGGTGGTGAAGAGGTGCCCATTGGTGTAGCGGGCATCCTTGGCTTCCTTCATCTTCTCCTTCTCCCGGGTCTGCAGGAGGGTTGAGAGAGAGAGAGAGAGAGAGAGAGAGAGAGAGGTAGGATGTAAGGCTGGAAGGTGCCGAGAAAGACAGGCAATGGCGAGGAAGAAACGCCTGCCCCGGACGGCACCAGTTCCTAAAGCAGAACCCTCCGCAGGGCTACACGCAGCCGTCCAGGAGTGGCCAGGCCAGGCTCCGGGAGGCCTGCCCCTGGGCCCCGGACCCACCTGGCCCCTGCGGCTGGGCTGCCTCCTGTTGCCGCTCATCTCCCTGGCTTAGGTCTCGGCGTCCTCACTCCACCTCCCAGCCCCAGCTCTGCTCGCCCCCGAGCTGCTGTACTCTCTCCTCCCGTGCCGGGGGAAGATGCGCAGAGAGGAAGGGAGAGCAGGCGAAGCGGAGGGTGCCAGCTCACCAGCGCTTTCCAATCTACGGGAGTTAGCTCCTCTCATAACCATGACAACCGGTGTTGGAGCCGCTGTCTCTGTGGCTGTCACGGGAGGGGGGGGTAGGAATGGGCGGGCAGGAGGGCCCCTAGCAGACTGGCTGAAGAGGGTACAATGCCCCCATTGCCACCTCCAGCCCAGAGGTCAGGCTCCCAGACCCTAACTCTTCCCTCAACACGCAGCCAAGGAGGAGGCTGCGTGCCCCCCGATGACCTGCAGGCAGCAAGGCCTGGTTTCCCTGGGTTACCCCTCCCCTGGGCATCCTAAGGGAGTAAGCTTGGCCAGTTGCTCCGGACACCGGACAGAAAAATCTCTCTTGCAGTCTAACTTTTACTCCTCCCCTACCTCCCTCCAGAGACAGAACCTGGGACCGCTGGCTTCTTCACAGCCAATCTCTGTCACCCCAGAAAGTCCCTTCTCACATCCCTCCACCTCTCTCCCAGCCCTAGTGAAGGGCTGTCCCCATCTCAGCTCTCCAGTCTCCCACTACCCAAGGGCCCCGCGGGCCAAGGCCTTGTCCCTGACCTCCCGAGCTTCCCCAAAGCCAGCCCAGGTCTCTGGGCCTCCCCTCCACTCCTGCAGGCCAGGAGCAGAGGCCCCGAAAGACCACTGGCTCTGAGGCTTCCCGACCTGCCTCTCCACTAGCAGTGAGGAGGTGGGGGAGGGGAAGGGCCACCCAGGGCCTGGTGCTTAGTGCAGAAAAGGGAAGTGCTGAGGGGCTGAGTCAACAGTGCAGGGGCCACAGGGCACTGCGGTGCCCTCGGGCCTCAGAGCTTCCTGCTGGCCCTGGTGCCTTCTCTCCTGCCCCTGCTCAGAAGTTCCAGGTTTGCAGCCTTCACCTCTCCCCACCCAGGAACCCTCCCCACCCCCACCCCCATCCCCATTCTTTCCTCTGCTTCTGCTCATCCCGCTCCTCCTTCCTCCTCTTCCTCCTGCCTGGTCTCCGGCTAGGTCCTCCCTTCTCATCTGGGGGAAGCCCCCACCTCTGCTCCCTGCCCCCTCCCCGCACCGGCACCTCAGGCATGCACCCCCTGTCTGCCTCTCACCCCTAGCACCCGGTCCTCTGGGTCAGGATCACCCCCAAGCCCTCTCTTTGGTGGAACCTCCATCTGTCTGGTTCTAAATGGCAGCTCTTTCGTTGACTGAATGTCTTCAGAGGGTCCCGTTCACCTCTAAATAACAACAGTGGCCGGCCCTGCGGCTCACTAGGCTAATCCTCCACCTAGTGGCGCCGGCACACCGGGTTCTAGTTCCGGTCAGGGTGCCGGATTCTGTCCCGGTTGCCCCTCTTCCAGGCCAGCTCTCTGCTGTGGCCAGGGAGTGCAGTGGAGGATGGCCCAAGTCCTTGGGCCCTGCACCCCATGGGAAACCAGGAGAAGCACCTGGCTCCTGCCTTCGGATCAGCGCGGTGCACCGGCCGCAGCGCGCCAGCTGTGGCGGCCATTGGAGGGTGAACCAACGGCAAAGGAAGACCTTTCTCTCTGTCTCTCTCTCTTAAAAAAAAAAAAAAAAAAAAAAAAAAAACACACACACACACACACACACACACAAAAACACAACGGTACAGCATCTCCACCAGCAAGTGCGCTGATTTCTTCCCGCTCCCATGCACTCTCCTTTCTCCCTGCTCTCCCACCCTTCCTGGCCTTCTGACACAACTCCAAAGTGGAAGCACTTGTTAACCTTGAAGTAAAAGCAGGCAGACAAGCACGCTTGAAAACAGTCTGAAAAACGCCACCGCGCCTGGCGCCGGGATCCCTGCAGCACTGTCCACACCTGCCCTCCGCCCCCTGGGAGCACTCACCTGCCCGGCCAGCTTGGACGGGAGTGGCAAAAGTGGGGAGAGGGCTGAAGCAGCCAGAGAAAGGGGTCCTCAGTGGCCTGGCCCCTCCCCGGCATCGAGGCCCTCTGGGTGGCCCAGGTGTGCTGCGCACTGCCTTCTGGGACCTCCTGGCACTCACCCTCTCTGGAAGCGACCCCTTCTCTAGGTGGGCCAGCAGCGGGCAGCAGCCACAGCGGCAGCACATCCCAGCAGGGGCGCGGCCAGCAGCAGGCAGCCCTGGCACAGCCTAGCACTATTGTCTCAGAGGTGGCCTGTGTCTGCCCCAGGCCTCACCAGGGGTGCCTGCTCCAGCCACGAGGGAGCGGGCCAGGCCCGCTCTTTTCTAGGTGTTCTGAAGGTCACCACATAGGTCTCTCGTGGACCCCGTCCCCAGCAGAGCCTTCCCCTCCAGGCCCCAATCTGTCAGCCAAAACAACCTGACACAGGGCATGGCTGGTCACTCCACAACCCACAGCCCCCACCCCCCACCCCCCAGCACCCAGAGACCCTTCCTTCGGGGTTCAGCCCTCTGCAGTCTGGCATCAACTCATTCTGCCTTTTTTCACAGACCCCTGGGATGACTTTCTCGCTCATAGCCTTCAGATAAAGAACATTAAAGCAGTGAACACAGCACCTGGTATACAACAGGCACTTAATAAGTGTTTGTCAATGAAGGAAAGGAAGCAAGCAAGGAAGGATGGATGGATAAACGCCAAGTCACAGGATCTGAGCAGCACCCGTCCCTGCTCTGCAACCTCTTCCTTGCTGTTACAGGTCCTGCAGGCTGCTCTCTCCTTCCTCCTCCCCCCCCCCCCCCCCGAGCTGAGCTTAGACCATGAGGGTTTCCTTGGAAGGTCCAAAGACAAACCTTCCTCCCACTATCTCAGCCACACTGGGGAGAGAAAGATGGACCAATGGCAGGAGGCCCCGCGGCTGACCGCTGCAAAGCTCACAGGCAGGCAGTGTCCCCCTCTGCTCTCCATCTCCTACCGCAGGCTGGAAGACAAACACAGTGACACACATGAAGGCCAAGGCGATGCCAAAGCCTGCACTTCGGCTTCCTGTGCTCCCCAGCAGGCGACAGGGCCTGGCAGAGCCTACCGAGGCAAGCCACAGTGTCTCCAAACAAGGCCCGAGCTGTCAGCTGCCCCTGCCCCAACCACGTGGCACTCAGACCCGCCTCGGCACCAGCTGCAACGGGCAGCAGCCCCTACCCCAAGTGGGGGGGGCGCTCTGTCCAGACCCCTGTCTGTTTGAGGTCTGCAGGGTTGCACTGTGGGGTGAGCCATTTGCGACACTGGCCGTGAAGCGCACTTAGTCATGGGGTTGAGCTGCAGAGCTGGGAAATGAGGAAGGAGAGGGTTCCAGGCCATGGGACCGAGATAGTGACTGGGATGACCCCAGCCTGCCTGGGTGCCTTTATGAAATTTCAGGGACAGGATGAAGACAAGAGGCCGCAGGGAAGGCGGCCAAATGGAACCACTAACACCCCAGCCAGAAACAACACAGAAAGACATCAGTCAACACACAAAGGCACTTAATACATGCCTGCTTAATGAACGAAGATGAGACACTGGGCAGAGGCGGCGGGCATGGCAGTGAGGCAGAAGAGGGGTGCGAAGGGCTGTAGGGAAAGAATCAGGCTAGAGACCCTGAGACACAAGCATCCTGGACCCTAGCCTGCCCCCCACCCGGCCACACCTGTCGGGCCAGGAGAGAGAGACACGCAGAGAGAGGCAGAGGGGAGCGATGCAAACAGACGGGCGTTTGTGCAAATGAACAATGGCTGTGCCAGGACTCCCTGCCCTCCTGGCACAGGGCAGGCCGGCTGAGTTGGGAGGGGGGCAGCTGCTGCCTGCAGCCCCACCCCCACCCTCCCCAAGGAGACATAAACAAACCCAGAAGGGTCCAGCCGGTTCCTCTAAGCTGCTTCTCTTCCAGAGAATGCAACCGAGAACAGAACAACCTCCCCGTGTCCAGAGAGCATGAGACCCCTGCTTCGGTGGTGACTACCATACAAAACCATACCCCAGAGCAGGACGGTACAGCCGCGGGGGAGGGGGCAGGGTCAGGCGCACACACACACCCCCTCCAACTCACAGGTAACACGCACACGAGATTCACACATGCAGATCTGCCCCCTCCAGAATCCAGGGTCACTGTTCCAGTGCCACAGGGGCTGAGACCAGACCCCTCTTCCTCCCAGTCTGCTCCTGGGGGCAGGTCTCCCTCCAGCACCATCCAACCCCTGCAGGCACTCGGTGACTTCCCCAAGCTTTCGGCTCCCTTCCCCCACCTCCATACGTGCTTCTCCCCTCCCCCCAGCTCTTTCCCTAACCTCCACGACCCCTAGATTTTTTTTCCGATGCCCCCCCTCCCAAAGACCCGCAGTTCTTCCACTCTCCTCCCCAGTGGTCAGCTCCCCGGTGGGCTCCCCCAGCCCTACCTCCCGCCACCCTGCTGGTCCCGCACACAAAGCCAGCCACCTCTCCGTTACTCAGAACAAAGAAATGGGCCCTTCCGCGCTCCCCAGTCCACCTGCCCTCCACGCACTCTGCAGCCCGGATCCCGGGGATTCCAGGACCCCAGCCTCTGCAGCCGGCCCCGGATCGCTGACCCCTTTGTTCTGAGGGGCACGGAAGGTTAGGGTTTGGGAAAGGAAAAGAGGTTGGGGGGGAGGTTGAAGAGAGCAATGGGACCTGCGGGGTTTGGGGCCCGTGGAGGTAGGAAGTAGAGCAGAGAGGATTGCGGGGGTGGAGGGCTGAAGAATAGAACTGGAGCGAAAAGCAAAGGCGGCCCTGGAGGGGGCTCTGCAGGAAGCGCCTCTGAGGGAGGCAAGGAGGCAGGGGCAGGGTGCGGTGGATTCCTCCCCCAGTGAGGAGGTCCCAGGAAGCCAGGTAAGGAGTCCGGGCAGGGGATGAGGCCCCCCAGGCAGCAGGGGAGACCACCTCCCCCCCCACTCCCGTTTCCAGCGGCCCTCCACTTCCCACCACAGTATAAAAAGAAAGGAGACAGCTGGTGCACTGGGGGAGGGGGAAGCGGGGACCCAGGGTGTGCTGGCTAGGAACCAACTCCCCCTTCTGTAACCACAGCTTTCCGGAGGTGGCCCTCCCCTTCCGACCAGCCCAAACCGACAACCGCCAGCCTCCTGTGGCCTCTGTGCCCCTTCAGCCCCCCACTCCCCAGCCCAGAGCCCCCAACTCCCTCCTCCCCTTCGGATGGCCCCAGAATACAAAGGAGAGCCAGGCTTCTGGGTTCCGGCCCCCCCCACTACCAAAACCCAAAACAAACCCCAAAAAAACAGGGCAAGAGGACTCAGGTATCTGGCCTCCCAGGTCCCCCAAGAATGAAAAAGAGGACCCCCATTAGCCACCTTCCCAGAATCTCTCTCTACTCCCAGGTCTACACCAGGTCTGCCTACCCCCCCCCCAAATTCCCCACGGCTTTCCTTTTTAGGGTGGAACCAAATTTCCGTAGTTTCAAAAAAACCTCTCCCGCCCCCCTTGGCTCTCCTCCAGGGTCTCAGCACAAACGGTTGAAAAAATAAACAGACTTTTGGAGCTGGGGCCTGGCCTGGCCAGGCTGTGAAGCAAGGGCCTGTCTGCCACCCCACTGCCCTACCACGCTTCAGCCACCTCACCCTGGCCTGTTTGTCTTAGGCCCACACCAATCCCTCCTTGCTTTTCCGGCCGCTAGTTTGCAATCCCAACCCCCCTTCCCCCAAGGAAGCCTTACAGGCTGCCTCCAGGGCCCTCTACCCCCTGGCCCTCCCCAGCCAGGAACCTCTCCCAACTTAGTAACCTCCAGACAGGTAGCCTGGCCAGGAGCGCCAAGGCAGGTGGGGGCAGGAGTCTCCACCACCCTGGAGGGCTCCCAGGAGGGTGCTGGGCTGTCTGGAGCTGGTGAGCAGCCTAGGCTGAGCACCAGGGCAGGGCGCCGGGTCTGTGGGAGGCCAGAGATTAAACCAGCTCTGGGCTGGGTCCTGGCCTCTCTGAT